ACAAAAAGACTTTATGTGGATATCGAGCAGGAGGCTACACAAAGCAGCGAGAGAGCATGTAAACGAGCAAAGCAGCAGAATAGGCATCTGTCAAAGCGAGCGGAGTCACTTGGGCAGCCTTCTGCCTTACCGCTGCTACCTTAGCTCTCTCTGTCGCGGAACCTATTCAGCATTCAAATAGGAAAAAAGACGATTACGTCAAAATGTCATGCCGCTATAATAAATTGTTCCACCTGAAAACCTCGAAAGGCACAACAAAAACATACTTATTCAGGATTGTTCGATGCGGTCCATGTTACCTCTCCTTACGAAAATCCTCAGGTAATTATGACTGATCGTGGGCTCTGCCTGTAGGCATTGGAGACTCAGCAAAGCTCAGGTCCTCTTCACAAGAGCAACAGCTTGGGAAAGTTCGAGTACGTGTTCCGTCACAAGATAACACAGTGACGCATGACAATCAAGAACATGTGATGAGATTATCCCATGTTTGCTTTCTCCGCAACCAAGACTCCGGGAGTACTTGTGACTGCACTTTCAATTGATGCTTGTTGGGACGGTACACGATATTGACTACGGACTGAATTTATTGCGTGGTGCTGCTGGTACTGTCTATGAAAGTCTTGAGTTGCATATCATGAAGAATACCACCATCTCAGGAAAATACTGCCAAGTAGTGCTGACTTGAATGACATTTTGCGGGAACTGTGTGGTGTGGGGTGGGAGGGGGATGTCGAGGAGGAGAGTGTTATTGAGAATATGGGCGTGAAGAAATGTCGTACTGATATGTTCGTCCTTCTTACCATGATAAAGCTTTCTTCCTCGAGGGCAGTTGGCACGATAATTTGGTTACTCTGCCTAAAAAGTAGCAGGAGTGTTAAGTAGTGGGAACGTCGGTGAAAGGCCGAAGTGATCCAGTCAAAGCCGGTCGTTTCCTCATTGATTTCGAGAAAGCGATTTCGGACGCGTTCTGAGTAGGCATCGCGCCAGTCACCGCTACGGTAGATAAGGCTGCACGCATGTACTCATATATCCATGCAGCACCGCAGGCCGCGTTCATAATCAATTCCTGGTTCAACTTCATATTTTACTCCGCAAATGAAGCAGATAAGAGCATCAGGTACGGTCGTCCATTTGTGGGCGGGTGGGCGCAGTGGGCGTCAGGGTCGGTATGTTGCTGCTTGATAGGGCCTCACAAAGGCACATTTCTTGGAAAATGCGCTGCGCAACGCCTGGTTAGGGGCGTGGAATTCCTTCCTGAAAGGCGTATCCCTACTTGTCTGAGGGATTAATCGTGCCAACTACATTTGAAGCTCTGTTAAAGATACCATGAACTTCTTAGCTCTTGCTCAGCGTACGGCAAATGTCACCGATTATGTACTTTAGGAGACGCGGTTGTTCTTACTTTAGCAATAGCCGCGATGGAGAGGTAGCATTATGAAACGGGTGTGGTTATGTAACTTGTTCGTGACCGAACTTCGGTAACTGAATGGCTTGAAGATAAGGAAAAACGATTTCTGTTTTTTAGAAATGACACAGATAATTGGAGATCACTCCTCCACTAATAGTTAGTCTACCAAGTGGCTAAGATATCACAGTGCGCAGACGAACGGACCCTTCAACTTTTATCCTTCATTTTTATTCCAGTATTTGTAGTCAAAGCCAAAACTAAACGTCACTTTTGACTTTTATGTCACTTTCGCGTAGTGAAACAGATCAGCGACAAGTACCACCGAGTTCAGAAGGTCTACCAATACTAGATGTCTGGCAACTCTCATGAGAATGAACATTCAAGCATACCTTTTCAAATCATAGATGGTAATCGTGACGCTATCAACTCCACTTCTTTGTTTCACTTCTAAGTTCGCTAGTCTAAGTCTTAAGTTCGCTTCTAAGCACACAGTTTCTCGAGATCAGCTCTTCCAGTTCACTGGTTTTGAAAGTTGACCCCCAAAGCTGGAAAACTTCACTGGCATTCGAGCTTTATACGCATGTACCGTAGCAACCTCGCAACTCCACTGGCGCGTCATCAGCCAGACTATGCACATTTCCAGCGGAAAAAGAAAAGAGTCTCTTATAGGCTCGAGCGTTATATCTTTTGCGGCAACGTCGCAGGGAAGTTGTATCATCTTAGCGCTCAGCGCCACCAGGGTACAGATCGTTGTTGTCAAACCCATGGGGGGCGGTCCAGTACTTTTGCTCTGGGGAGCAGGGGTCGTTATGTAAGACAATTTATATTTTGGTAGTGATTTTGTCTTGCATGAAAAGGGCGGAGGTTCGCTAATTAATTTTTTGTTTTATTTTCGTATGTAAGTGACATGATTCTGTTCCGTGGGATACGTTTCACATAGTTATTGTAATATCCCTTTACTCCTTCACTTCCCCCCCCCCCCCTGGACGAACTTTTTCGCCGACTATATACTCATTGCTCGTCGTCGGCGAAAAAGCCGTGGGGGGGGGGGGTCGTACTCACACCGACATTTCGCACATCCCCATGCTGTACCCTGGCGCAACCACCGTGCGCTAGCGTTTCGCTAGCGGTTGCAGCGGCAGGGCTTAGGAGAGTGTAAGAAGAATATAAAATCCTCATTACTTCTTCGATACTCGTGCTAGCGTTCGGATGGTATTCTGCTAATCTCCTAATATTTTCTATACTCTCTAGCCCCGCCGCTGCAAGCGCTAGCGAAACGCTAGTGGAACGCTGGAAGCGCTACGCTACGCTGCCGCAAAGTATAAACGCAAGCCTTGTATTGAAGGGGACAATTCAAACATTTTGTTGAATTGCTGAACGATCCATCCGCATGAGGACCGCTAAATGGACTCTCGTAGGGAAGAAAATCGGTACAAATCGGGAGACCACCCTTAGCCGGTAAATTATCATTGGAGCCACCTTAAGCCCCTTCTGGCAGACCAAGTTCTCGCCATTCGCCTCGTTTATGCAACAACAGTGACAACTGCCGCTTCCGGTCCCACTATAGTTCATCCCATGGTAATAATGCTAATGAAACCCTATAGTGAAAAGAAAAAAGAAAAACGGCGTAAAAATCGATTCCTGGCAGAAACTAGCCTTTACGTTTCGGTGGGTGGGACAACTAGGTACGGCGTCAGAACTACCACTTATGCAGGCCCACAGCACAGCGCTTTCGCTATTTATGGTGAAACAGCGGAAAAAAGGATAATCTTAGAGACTGAGGACCAGATTATTTGTACAAGGAAGGACGCCAACGAATTGCTTGAGCACGGCGGTCTTTAGAAACTGACTGCAGTTGTCCAGCAATAGCGCTCAAAATTATAATTTTCAGGCGCTTGTTGACTTATCAAGGAAGAAGAAAGCAGAAGAACCCCCAACAAACTCGCTCAAACGAGGCACGGCCGACGATTTTCAGCACTGGATATGAGCACACCAGTAATACAGGGGACGGCAAAAAAAGTTCATTCTTATTTCGGGCGCTATAAAGTATACAGTTTATTAAATTCTGATACAGAACCCTTTTTACCACCTATATTTGAAAGAGCATGTAAATACTATTACGACACTCTGCCGCCAGCCCTCTGGACGAGCGGCCATCGAAAGATTCCATGAGACACGCGACCACGCCGAGATGTGGTGCTGAGTTCAGCGAGATCAGGTCGATTTCTCCGCCAAACGTCAGACCAGCTATTATTGGAGTACGCCGAAACGGATTAATTTGAGGAAGATTCGGAACACGGGACTCACTTTGGATATTATATCTTCTTCAGGTACTTATCCTCCGTTCCACCAAAGTAGGCGAGGTTTCTCCAAGCGCCCTTATCAGATTCCTGATTTGGTTGAGCACCGCAACTCACTGTAGCCCAGCACAACCGATTTCAAGAAGGTATGCGGCGACGCGACATGTGAGGAGGGTATTTTCTCCCGAGTTGCTAAATGTACGTCACAGCACTCACCTTCAGTTCCGGAGGATCCACGCAAGAAAATATTGGTCTTCCAATTCCAGCAGTACGTCTGGTCCCCACCATCAACTGGCGCCTTGGCGACTGCTCGTGAACATGATGTCCTAGGCCGTAGCGACGTTGTCGGAGCTGCTCGATGTTGGAGGTCTTCCAGCTCAAGAGTACTGGTCTCCAGGTAGCTATCCATGGGTGACTCCATACTAGAAGTTTCGCAGCTGTTTGGAGGTGACATGAATTCCAAAGGTCTTCTCCAGTCAGGCTGCGACTGGAGATGACTTCATATTTTGGTGTACATGAAGGTGATGGGCGAGAGCCAGCTCCTGCTTATAGAGGAACATCTGGTAATGCTTTCCGCCCTGAGTACTCGTTATCCACGTCTTCTTCTTGGGCCAGCGAAAACTTTGCTGAATGTGATCGGTTAGACTTTCCCCCCCCCCCTCCTGTATACACGGGAGTGAGAGACCAGACAATGACGGGAGAAAGAGTATGCACCCACACAGAAATGAAAGTGGATTTCAAGGTATCATGGGCAGGGTGGGATGTGTGAAATGGTAGTTCAGGTACGACCCCCCTCCCTTCTCCAACGCCTATCTACCTTATCAATTCCCCACATTTTCCAGATTTTCACCCAACAATTTTCCGTCGAACGGGAGGAAGGGAGAGGGGGGGGGGGACGAGAACGGGTAGAGAGTAGAGATGAGCAAAAAGGGATTACTACACAGTCCGTACTGGGATGGACACAACTAAACGGAAAATGCACCCGATATGATGCCCCTTCGTTCTATTGTTGTCATGCCAACAACAGCTGCCGTGAACAATTAGACCTCGGCCAATTTCGTTGCATTTGATCATTTTGCACTAATACATTTAAGCTCCCAATTATACCTTTTAAAGCATTTTATTCATTATAAGAGCTCCAGTCACACGGAAAAGAACAACAGCAAATAATAATTCTATTCTATGACAGATAAAACTATCAGGGATTGTAAACAGTAATAAAACAACATGCAACATTATAGTAAGAGGAGAACCGTACAAATGTTACACATAACTATGCGAGAGATCGTATATCACATTGCTGCTTTGTTAGCTTTCCACCACCCTCGTACCTTTTCATGGCCTTCATCCGACACTATCACCAGCTTCTTGTCGCTGTCTGCCCATAGAAGTATACCTTCCCGCATAGAAAAATCGCGAACACCTGAAATTTTTTTCTGACAAATACGACATCCCTAGTTGCAGTTTTTCTCCGGGTACTGTAATTGAAGGCAAGTGGCACGATAAATCCCCAAAACGTGTAGGATTACGCCTAGCAGGACAGAATTCGGCGCCCTTGAGCAGGCGCTGCGTGTGCCCTCTCCAAGGAAGGTACCCCTTGCCCTATTTAGCTGCTACATACCAACCCGAACGCCCACCGCGCCCACCCACAAATGTCCGACCGATGCTGATGCTCGTATCGCTTCATTTGCGAAGTACAATATGAAGCGAAGGGATTGATATGAAGCGGCTGCGGTGCTGCATGGATATATGAGTACATACATGCAGCCGTACCTACCGTAGCGTTACTGGCACGATGCCAACGGGAAACTCGTCCGAAATCGCTTTCTCAGTCGTGAGGAACAGGCTTTTTTTCGCAGATTTGACCGCGCTCCACTTCGCCTTTCTCGAC